AAAAAAAATGTGGGTTTTTGAGGTGACTACATGGATATCAAACCTGATAAAAGTAGCACCCCAAAAATGAAGCTGTAGACCAATATAGAATAAGGGGGGGGAAGCAAACTGGAAAATAACCATATCAATAACTAAACGTAAATGGACAACATTTGGATTAAATGGCAGATTGGCAGATTGGATGAAAAAACAAGAGCCAGCTGTTTGTAGTTATCCTCTAAGTACAAAAGCAGATTGAAAGTAAAAGGATGGAAAATGATACACCATGCAAACTAGCTGTGAGAAAGCTGGAGTAAAGTTGTCTTCAAGACAAGAATTTTCAGAGATAGAAAAGGACATTGCGCAATGATAAAAGGACCAATATATCAAGAAGACAACAGCTCTTAAGTGTTCATACCTAAAAGCAGAGCTTAAAAGTTCATGAATCAAAAAGTGATGGACCTCAAGAAAGACTCCATAAACAAAATTGGCAAGTTCTGTGCTCCTCTCTTAAGTAATTGATACAACAACTAGACCAAGAAAAAAATCAGTAAGCATGTGGAAGACCTGAGTGTGATATCAACCACATTTACTTACTTGACATTTAGAGATTACAGCGCCAACCGCAGAAGACATATTCTTTTCAAGGGCACACACAATTATCACCAAGATAGATCATATGCAAGACAATGAAACAAGTCTCAGTAAGTAATCTCAAAGGACTGCAATCTTATGAAGTATGTTTTCTGACCATAATTGAATTAAAATATTCAATCAGATCTAGAGAAGCCTTGAATATTTGTCTATTGAACAATACACTTTTAAATGGCATACCAAATTCTGTAGAATGCAGCTAATGCAATATTAAGATGGAAATTTATAACCTTGAATGCTTGTCTTTGAGAGAAAGGTTCAATATCAATGATTTAAGCTTCCACTTTAGAAAAGCTAGTAAGATGAAGAAAATAATCCAAAGCAAGTGAAAGAAAGAAAATAATAAAGATAAATCAGAATCAATGAAATAGAAAAAAAATTAATAAAATCAAATTTTGGTATTGTAAGTGTTAATAAAATTGATAAGCCCCTAATAAGATTAAGAAAAACAAAAGGGAGATAGCACAAATTTATCAAGATCAGTAATAAAAGAGGGGCCATCACTTACAGATCCTACCTTTATCAAAAGGATATCAAGAGAATATTATGCCAATAAGTTTGACAATTTAGGTAAAATGAACAAATTCCTTGAAAAATACAACTTAACCAAAACCAATACAAAATCAAATAGAAAATCTTAATAGCCTTATTTATGTCTATTACAAAAATTAATTTGTTATCAAAAACGTCCCCACAGAGAAAACTCGCAAGTCCAAGTGGTTTCACTGATTAGTTGGATCACACATTTAAGGAGGAAATTATTTTACCCAAACTCTTAACAGAAAATAGAGAAGAAAGGAACATATATCCAAACTGGTTTTATGAAGCCAGTGTAACACTGGTACCAAAATCTGACAAAGATGTTTAAAGAAAACCATCGAACAATATCTAAATGAAAAAAAATTCTTTAACAAAACACCTAATTGAGTTTAGCAGTATTTTAGAAGGATAATACACATAACCAAGTAGGATTTATCCCAGAGGTGCAGCATTAGTTTGATATTTGAAAATCAGTGTTATCCTCTCTATTAATAAGGGAAACAAGATCATGTTAATAAATGTGGAAAAAGCATTTGCCAAAATTCAACACCTATTTATTATTTAAAAAAAAAAACCCAACTCACCAAATCTGGAAGAGACCTTCAAGCTGATATATTTGCCATAAGCCTACAGCTAGTATCATACTGAATCAGAATATAACAATATAGTAAACCTACAGCTAATATTCTGAGTGGTGAAATGCTCAATGTTTTTCTCCTAAAATCAGGAACAAGGCAAGGCTGTCCATTGTTATTGCTTTTATTTAACATTGCCCTGGAGGTACTAGCAACTCAGTAATGCAGGAGAAAGGAATCCTATAAGATTCAAAAACTAATACAGCGGTCATATCCACAGATAACATGATTACATACACAGAAAACCCAAAGGAATCAAGCTAGAAGCTTGCCAAAATTGCTGGGTATATGGTCCATATAGAAAAATCAAGTGTATTTCTATGTATCATCAGAAAATGGAAATTTAAAACTGGTATCATACCGGTATCGACAAGCATTTTCGAAATATCTCAGGATAAGTCTAACAAAATATCTGCAGAATTTTGCACAGGAAATTATAGCATCGAGTGGAATTAAGGAAGACCAACATAGAGGCACCTGGGGGGGCTCAGTGGGTTAAGCGTCTTCCTTCGGCTCAGGTCATGATCTCGGGGTTCTGGGCCTGAGCCCCACGTTGGGCTCCCTGCTCAGCGGGGAGTCTGCTTCTCCCTCTCCCTCTGCCCCCCACTCATGCTCTCTCTCTCTTTCTTTCTTGCTCTTCAAATAAATAAATAAAATCTTAAAAAAAAAAGACCAAAATAGTAGGTGGCTGTATCATGTTTATAGGTTGAAAGATTCAATATTGTAAAGATGTCAATTCTCCTCAAACCGGTCATTGCATCCAAGCAATTCCAGCAGAGTTTTATTTATTTTTTATGGAATTGTATAAGCTGACTCAAATTGATACAGAAATAAATGCAAAAGGCCAAGACAATCTTAAAGATAACATGATAGGACTTACTCCATCGGACATCAAGAACTATCATAAAGTTGTAATGATTAAGTCAGTATGGTGTCGACACAAGGACAGACAAATAGATGAACAGAACTGATGACCTTGGTTAAAATGAAGAATCCATACACACGTGGGTGTATCAGACACCCATTTGATGTCTCAAATCCACTCAGCCCACCCCTTACCTCCAGTTTCATCCTGGCACAGACCAACTTCCCACAGATGCAACCTGACAATGCTTAGCCTCGTTCTTCCTGGCCATAGGCACTGCATGCCTATGAGGTCACATTTTACACTTGTGCATGCACTACCCAGAAGTATGTGGAGTTCCTACCCATGCAGCCGCTCTTAATGGGGGAGGGGGTCGGGATTGGGAAGCTGATGGATAAATGCTTTGCTTCCCTCTTGCATTCCTCAGGCAGACAGTTCTGATATTTATTTCGTAAGTCTCCTCCAAAGGTGCTGCGGGACTGAGCTCCAATCAATCCTGACAGTGGTCAATCCTCGGACTGACACTTGTATAGGCTTTTCTGCAGCTCTTTCACTCCCTGTTCCTCACTCTTACTTCTGGTGATCAATTCACACAAAAGTTGCCTGTATAACAGGCCTGTGTCTCAGACTCTGCTTTTGGGAAAACTTAGCTAAATCATGGATATAAAGAATATAGCCAACAAAAATGTATACATATATGCACCAAAAGACATGTAAAAGAGTACTCATAGCAGCATTATTCATAGTAACATCTAACTGGAAATGATCAAAATATCCAAAACCAGAATACATAAATAAGATTGAGGTATATTCATATAATGTCATTCCATAAAGCAATGGAGATAAAGCAGGGCTACACACAAGAATATGGATGAATCTCACATAATCTTGAGTGAAAAAAAGAAACATAAAAGTATATCCTATTGGGACATCTGAGTGGCTCGGTTGGTTAAGTGTCTGCCTTGGGCTCAGGTCGTGATCTCAGGGTCCTGGGATTGGGCCTCCCCCACCCCACCTCAGGGGGGATTCTGCTTCTCCCTCTCCCTCCACCCCTCCCCACCACTCTTGCACACTCTCTCACAAATAAATGAAATCTTAAAAAAAAAAATGTCATATTGATCATTTAGATAACATTTAAAATAGGGAAGCTATTCTATTGCATTCCAAGTCAGGACAGAGTCCCCTTTAGCCGGAAGGAGGAGGGAGTGCTTGGGAAGAGAACCAAGGATCTTTCTGGAGAACTGGTAATGTTGTATTTTCTCTCTCTCCTCTAAAGTGACAGTTACATGGATTTGCTCACTTTCTGATAATTGGCCTCATTTACCCTTTGTACACCTTTGAGTATGTTTTAAGGAAGTTAAAATACATAATATAGTATTACAAAGAAACAGAACAAGCAAGAACTTGGGAAAACTAAAAAATATGACTTTTAATGTGTAGAAAAAAATGAAAAGGCTACGGATTGGAAGATGAAGTCTCTCAAGTGGTGTAACAGCAACAGAGTTGGGAAATACTCAAGGAGATAAACAATCAACCAAGTCAGAAGGTTCAACATCCAACTACCCTGAGTGCCAAATGCACTGAATTGTGTCCCCTCGACATTCATTCTGTTGAAGTCCTGTCCCGCCCAGTGCGCATCAGATCTGATCTTGGGTCCTGCTTCCAGCGGACATTCCTACGGGCATGCGCGTCATTCCACAGCTGTCAAGGGGGTTGAACGGTCCCTAAGATCCTTCCCAGCTCTAGGGATTCTCGAGTCTGTCCCCCTTAGGTAATGAACAGCTAGAAAAATTTACCAACTTGAAAAGCTAGTACCTCCATTAGATTTTCTAGAGGTAATAGGTTCTTGTAAGAAACTGAAGTTAATGGGATCCGAGTTTCACCTGAAGAGGTGAGAGCATTTTGAAAAGCAGGTTTAAATTTCAATGTCAGGTGGTAAAGGGAGAAGAAATTGCAAAACGTACAGTGAATAAGACAAATCTTATCAATTAATAGATTGTACAAAATGGTTGATGGGTGATGTTCAGCAAAAATGGTGGGGTTGGGGGAGGGGAGGTACTGCATTCTTCTGACCTTAAAAAAGTTCTCACTTACAATTAGTAAGATTAGCTAGCCTAAATTTTATTTCTATATGCTAATTTGTGTTCAGGGCATACAAAGCTTGACCATGCAGATGTGCAGAAAACAACAAAAAAGCTCTCAAGGTGTGACGAGTGACTAGATGTCCCACCGAAACTTTAAAATTTTCCTTTCCTTCAGGTAAACTCTCCTGCTGATATTTTACAGGAAACTAAGTACGTGTAAATAAAAGAAACCATGCAGTAATCCAACATTCAGATCAGAATTTTAATGATTTCATCAATGGTACAGCATTTGCTTTCCTCTTACCACTGAGGCAATTCTAAAATGAATTTAATGCAACAATTTTTAAATGTACAGACAGTCTTTAAACAGTAATGCGTTTAAATCGACCAATTTCATCTTTCGGTCATCATCCTGGCATCTCAATAATGCTGGTAAAATTCACAGCTATGCAGCAAGCCAAGAGGAGTGGCCACTGAGGTTCTAAAATGTCTCATTCAGAGACTTCTTGAGTTTGTCATCTACCATCTAACTTTTCAGCTTTTTAATGTCAGTACACATCCAGGAATTCCATTCTATTTGATTAAAAGGCTTTGTAATGAAATGAGAATCAAGGGCCAAACTTCTTTATTGGTATCATTTAAAAAAGAACGCATTCACTTTATTCTAAATAGTACTTAAATTCAACTATATTTTTGAAGGTGAAACTACTTTTGTTCTTTATATCTGCTTTACCTTTTCCTTCTAGAATACCTATACCATTTTACCTAATCATGAGCCAGTTGGTGCATTAATATACACAAAATCACAATATCATCTATGGGCCATCTGTCTATATAATTTTTTGTTCAAAGAAAGCTGTTCTTCCCAGGGTTTTCTCTTTCCTCTAAGAAACGACAGGTAAAGCCTAGGTCCCCCCAACCTGACTACTTCAGAGATCCAAAGCACAGCTTTGGTGGTTGAAACGAGAGGAGCTGGGTGACCAGACAGATGTCTGTGAACCTGACTTCATCTTTGATCCCTCCGAGCACCCGGTGAGCGGGTGTCCCACTATTTCATGAACTGAGGCTATGATCTCAGCTCCTCTTGTTTCAATACCTGTCCCCGCTAAGAGCTATTTCACGATTTCTGCCATGAGGCACCCTTCAGCACTGCTCTAGGGGCAGTGGGAACATCTCAGACAAGGTCCCACCTAATTTTCCTTCCCTAGTTCCGCACAGCCCTTCTAGCGGATCAAGTGGCCTACATTTTACCTAACATAGCTTGTGCTCTCTTGGGACTGGATCTGCAAATGCTCAAGTCTTAAAGATGCTCGTGCTCTCTTACTACATGCTACCAAAAAGAAAACGTATTTTATATGATTTTTAATGTGATTAATAGTGATTTAGTTTTCAAAGAAGCAGATAACTACAGAACAAGAAGAAAAGCTTATTGCTGGGATGGTCTCCAATGGCTTCTGTTCACAGCAGACTACATAGGAAGGACACGGACTACACAGGAAGGACACGGATATCATGGTGTCTTCATTATTATAGAATCAGAGCAAAATGACTCCTCAGAAAACAGCAATCATGAATTTCATGACAGATATGGTATGTTTAGAATGAATCCGTCAGTACTTGAACCTTTTTTTTTTTTTTAAGAAAAATAAAATGAAAACCCATGACTTGTAGAAAGAAGTACGAGAAGGAATGCCCACAGATGCATCCTCCTGTTGGGAATGCATCTCTCCGAAATTCGATGTACAAAGGTTGTCGCATTTAATTTCCAACAGTTTTGACTTTCTTTTTGCACTCCGGGTTTAAGGAGACAGATTTTGACATTCTTCAGGAATTATTTGAAATTTCATTCAGTTTTAACAACAAATAACAAGTATTCTGTGATGTGGGCAGAAAAAAATTTGTCTTTTTCAATCAAATTGTAAGACATAATCATCAGTAAAGTGCATTTCATATAAAAGTACCCATTAGGAGAGTAATTGAAAGTGCAATACATAAGGTACTTTAAATAGTGCAAAGGTGCTAAATATATCATACGTGCCATGTCCAAATAAAGCAGGATTTTATCTACCCCTAAGCCAGAGAGAATAACAGATTCATACTTCCCCACTTTAATCCTTTCTGGTGTGTGTGTGTGCGCGCCTGTCTATGTATATAACCGCCTAATGATCTGGGCAAATGCCTGAAACTGGTTTCCTAGAATCTGAAACCTTTAAACACTGAAATAAATACACCATCCCCACTTCAAAGTAGCATTAGGCTTGTAACAATGGTTGAGCTATTTCAGCCTGCATGTCTGGTAAGGCAGGTATCTGACTGTGAAGTAAATGTTTAATGAAAATTACAAAAAATACAATCACCAAAATGCTGCCGAGAGACACCCCTAGAAAATAAGCATAGGACTCCTCACGCTCATCTTCTCCGGGCTTGATGCTACCATGGAGGAGCGTAGGACTTGGTGTGTGAGGACGTGCTCCCGGGCTTGTTGAACTGAGCAGATCCTGGACATTCCTGAATGATCCGTTGTGTGGCATGCCTGTGACGTTGAGGAGGTGGCAGAGCAGAGGGTACAGATCTGTGGAGTTCATGGCTTCTTTCGTGAAATTCTTTCTGAAGGCAGGACCATGGGCTAAAAATATTGGATGCATGTCTGCTAATGCATTATCATAACCATGGTTGCCTACTGGAAAGATAACATGAATGAATACGTTAGCCCACTGGAGGGAATTAAAATGAAAATAACTGTTGTACTGTCCAATTCTGAACTTAAATGCAAAGTTTAACTCATTGATCTTTTAAAAAAAAATAATCTTTTAGGAACAATCTCTGCTGTTGTCAACATCATCATTCACTGCAGAAAATGGAAAGTCAAAGTGATGACAAATCTTTCTCACAGGTGGAAGCGACCTGAAACAGCAGAGGAGGGGTAAACAGCAAAGCTGAGCCAAGTCAGAGGAAAATGAAAGTGATTTTTTTCTTTATTTTTTTTTGGTGGCAGATAAACTAATATTCACTACTTGTTAGGTATCTATCTTGTTCCAATTATGTTTTAAAGAGGAAGGGATAAAGGTGCTCTTAGTCATAAAGACAGTAAATTCATCATTACCAACAAAAGGGGAAACACAATTAATAAAGAAAACAAAAGACACCACAAAAATCAAACCCCTAGTGACAGCTATAATCCACGATGGATAAATAAAGGTCAGGACTTTTGGGTAAAATCTTGATACTGGTGGTTCAGATCAAAATACAATTTAGCACTGTGTGCTTGTGCAGCTACAAATAAAGTAAAAGCTTTAGAAGTCTTCTGATTTATCAAGAGATATAAAATTGAAGCATGAAAACATTTTATTTTATTATTATTATTATTTTTTAAGTAGGCTCCATGCCCAGCATGGAGCCCAATACGGGGCTTGAACTCACGACCCTGCGATCAAGACCCGAGCTGAGATCAAGAGTTGGACGCTTAACTTACTTGAGCCACCTGGACGCCCTACAGGGAACATATTTTGAGAACCACTGCTTTCGGACATTAGGACTTCATTCTCTTGTGGAACTCGGGTTGAGAAGGAATATACTGGCCAACACTTAATTATTTGTTCAAGAAATAATCATGTTGAACATAATATAACATAAACGGGAGCGTTATTAAGGCTTTCTATCAAAAACAGGTGTGACCCATCTATTGTGTAATTGTAGTTCACCACACCAAAATTTCAAGAGAGCCCCTCAGATTTACATTAAGTGTAAAAGTACAAATCTCCTCAGAGATAGCAGCCCTTTTTTGAGCAACCCCTCTACCATAAGAGCTATCTGCACAATACATGAGAATCTGAACATATAAAAGCAGGAATTATTCTCATGGCCAAAGAAATTTTTTTGAAAGAAATTATTTTGAAGATTTTATTTATTTGAGAGAGAGAGAAAGAGAAAGTGAGAGAGAGAGAGAGAGCACAAGCGGGGGGAGGGGCAAAGGGAGAGGGAGAAGCAGGCTCCCCGCAGAGCAAGGAGCCCGACGCAGGACTCGATTCCAGGACCCTGGGACCATGATCTGAGCGGAAGGCAGATGCTTCACCGACTGAGCCACCCAGGTGCCCCCAAAAGATTATTTTTTAAAGGCTTTCTTAAAACAGCTTCCCTGGTGTGAGTAAATATCGGCTTACAGATCACTCTCTGTGTGTAAAACCTGTGTTAAGAGCCAGAAACCAGGCGCCCGTATCTGCCACTGTGACTCCCACGTGTACCACGAATGCCATGATCAGGCAACCGCTTTTCTTTTTGTCAATAAATATGACAGGAACCCAATTCTACCTCCGAGGACATTTCTGTACATCTCCTAGATATATCACAGACCAAGGCTGAAGAAAGCATCCCTGTGTAGTTTCGATACAATGTGGTTCCTTCGGGCGCCTGGGTGGCTCAGTTGGTTAGGCGACTGCCTTCGGCTCAGGTCATGATCCTGGAGTCCCGGGATCGAGTCCCACATCGGGCTCCCTGCTCAGCAGGGAGTCTGCTTCTCCCTCTGACCCTCTTCCCTCTCGTGCTCTCTATCTCTCATTCTCTCTCTCTCTCTCTCAAATAAATAAATCTTAAAAAAAAAAAAAAAAAAAAAAACAATGTGGTTCCTTCACTATCCCAGTAACAGAGGAGAAACAAGTCCCCGGGGAGCTGATCAGTTGTTGCGTTAACATCTACGTCCACCAACAAAGGCACAGGCGTGCAAGGTAGTCCACCAGACGGCAGTTCATATGGGGAAAGTGCTAAGAGCTGAGAAGCACCCACAGGATGATGGCAAGGGATTAGGAACAGCCCCTTGGCCCCCTGATGGCTGGAGGGACAGAAGGGAGGAGGTGGGGTTACCAGAGCCCAAAGGCCAGGACTGCCCAGTAGGAGCTGAGGCTGTCGAGAGAGGAGCTGTCCCGAGGGACCTGGGATCACAGAGGAAATGAAGTCACCATTGAGTGACATCACCTAAGACAGAGAATGTGCAGGGCAAATACCCTGGCTTCTTCCCAACTCCTGCCTCCCAAACTCCTGCGGGTGTCTTCTACAATTTTGGCCACATCTAACCAGAAACCACTTGGCAAAGGAGCCTGGGAAATTTAGTCTGTAGAGGTCGGTCCCCGGCAATACAAAGCGGGGAGTTAAAGAGCAAACAGGCACGTGACGGGCCCATTAAAGATGAGTAAAATCCTGTGGATGGCTTTTCCATTTGACTACCTTGTTAGAAGCTATATAAGAGAAAAATTACACGTTAAGGATGGCAGAAATCCCCTTCTTTTGCGTGTTTGAATTTCAAATGGGATGTCCAATATATCTAAGATTAATCCGGTGGAAATTATCTCCAAAATTATATCACTAGGTATTAGAAAAATACATTTTGATATATGATCCTCCATGCCATACGCACTTCTTTTTTGCAGTATTTCCAAGGGTTAAAAGAAAGTGGCGTGTATCTGGAAGAGCCAGAAGGGCAGAGGAAACTAGAAAGCTAAGAACTGCAAATAAAAATAGGGATTACATTATTATGAAATTAGAACATAAAACGGATGCAGAAAATCATTCAATTTATAAATTTCCAATTAGGTTTTTCTCAGGAACATGATGGCTGTAATTAGCCATTGAGGTCACTCTGCATATCTTTGGTCTGATGACTTCCAGAGAAATGAATGTTTAGGAGTTTACCTCTTTTTAAAGTCCCAAGGATCTGTGATTTGCTATTATTGTAAGACACCAGTTAAGTTATTTGATTAGTAAATACACTGCTGTATTATTACCCACAGCCTCCACTCCAACAGACAACGAGTATAATGGGGAGAAACGGTGCAACATACTCACACAGAAAGTTATCTGACTTATTCTGTAGAATATACCACCCTCCGTCAGCCACGGCTATGATGGGTTGAATTCGAGGGTTGTTCTTGTAACGCCACCTTTCCGGAATCTCTTCTCTTTTGTAAACAGTAAGATTAGGATGGGCATGAGCTAGGGCTTCATAGACTTCATCCAATTTACCTCAAAGAGGAAGGATACGGAGAGGCACTCAGAACCAGGCACTCACTGTTACAATCAAAGAAACCACCCAGGCAGCAGAGGCCAATGAATGTGTCTTCCTGAGGTAAACCACCAGCGGGCAGAACGTAGGGAAATGCAGCCAGACACCTGAAGACTCTTACCCCCTTGAAGAAAGAATCTTGAGGGGGAAACAGAAATGATTCGTCTTCTGCTGGACGTAAATTCATTCTACAGAACTGAGAGGACATTATGTAGAACTAGAAATCTCTAATGTAAAGACTTCACACACACACACACCCAAATGGCGGCACTAAGTAAAATGTTTACTCAGATGAAAACGAAGAGCTAAGTTCTGATAATTAGGAGCACAGAGAGACAATGTCTGACTGGAGGGTGAGGCAGCACTTGAGAAAGGGCAGACTGGAACACAGCTTCTGAAATGGAAAAGTTCTTTAACACCCCGGAGGTGTGGCAGAGGTACTCCCTGTAACTTCAAATGCAGTGTCTTTAATCCTTTTCTCGTTTTTCAAATCCATCTGTTGGGGCTTCCTCCCTGCCTCGCAACACCCCAACACAGGACACATTCCAATTTTATAAGGAAAATTGAAGAGTTAATGTGATTTCCTCAAAGAACAAAAGACTTGTTATTTGTTAAATTTGTTAAAATTTTAAAAGTTTGTGTTCAGGTGCACGTGTATTTTAACATTCGCTGTTTCATTTGATCCTCTTTGATTCCCTTGTGAGGGATATAAGGCAATCTGTTCTCTCATTTGATATCTAGATTAACTCTAGATGGTGATAAAATAGAAGTCAGAAGTCTGAGTCTTGCTCTGCACTTCCTTTGTGATCTGGGGAGGTTAAACTTGAGCTAGTTCACCTGTCTTTAAAACAGAAGTAACACTTAGGTGACAACAATTATGAGGCTTTGAGAAAAGGTTTGTAAGAAGTTCAACGTATTGTTATGACTTCGATTTATAAGCAGGGAAAAGAAATCTTCAGCTTGATCCATGCTTTCTCCTTCCTCTACTGCACTGCTTCCCTAATAAGCAAGTCCTACAAAAGGATCCGCAGTAGGCTAAATTTAGGGCTTCCATAAAATCACTGTAATTGCATGCAAATTCTGTATGTCTCTTTCCATCTCAATTTTTCTGAGAAAGGAGGCTATAGCTTTCATCACCTTTGGTGGTTCCAAGATGGTTAAATCCATCTGCCATAAATACAGAGAGAACATCAATTTCAAAATTCTTGGGAAAAGTGAAAAATTACATGCTGGGAAAAAAGATTTTCTTTTCAGAGTCTAAGGATTAAACCCTAGAATATTACCATGACACAGGCAAGTATATTTTGAAGATACAGAAACAAAACTTCCCCATTCAGTTGCCCTGGGCACATCCAGCCCCAGCCCCAGATCACCACTCAGTCAGACTTACCTTCTTTTGGCAAGATGGCCGCTACTGGAGATTGGTCAATCAGGATATAGTGGTCTTTATCCAGATACTGATCAAGTTCTATTATCCTTTCCTCAGAACACTGGGTCATTCCGTGATCACTTGTGATGATTAGGTTCAGAATGTTCCACAACTTGGCCTTTTTCAGCATTTGTATGAGATATCCCAACTTGTTGTCAATATCCGAAATGACAGGCCCCATGAGCGGACTCTCAGGTCCCAAGTGGTGGCCCATATCATCAGGGTCTTCCCAATAAAGGAGACCGAGATTTATGGGCTCTTTTGATGTAAACCATTCAATAATTTTGGCAACTCTATCTTCAAATGACACAGACTCATTGTAAGGCATGTAGTGAGTAGCAAAGCTATTATGTATTTTTACATCAGCTCCAGGCCACATGGCTGCACCACTAGAACGTCCTGCCCTCTGATTTGTGATCCATATTGGCGTCGCCTCTTCCCAAAACTCAGAATCATAAATCGTCATGTTATCCAAGGAGAAAGATTTATTCAGAATGGGATCAAACATGTCATTTGCAACAATCCCATGATTCTCCGCAAAGAGGCCAGTTACCAAAGTATAATGGTTAGGGTAGGTCTTTGTGATAAAAATATTAGTAACCTGCTTCACATGAACACCATACTTCATAACATAATGAAAATGGGGTGTTGGCACTCTATATAAGTAATCCCAACGGAATCCATCAAATGAAACCAGTAGAACCTTTTGCTGGTCTGGTTGGAGAGAAAATGTAACTGAGAGTATTAGTACAGCAAGTATGAAGGACACCCAGAGGAGTTTTGAAGTCATTTTCAAAGTATTTGATCAGTTCAGTGTAAGACAATCTGTATAAAAAAACATATAGAAGTTAATGGCAATATCTTTTTTTTCGGTATACCCTACCCAAAACTGACAGTGATGGTACTTAGTAATCCCAGTCATATAATAAACCACAGCCTGGAAGAATTATGTTGCTCCATCTTAAACAAGAGACCTGGGGCTTCCTACAGAATAAAGCTAAGAAATTTAGTTGCATTTTAGAAACTGTTACTTTCCAAGAATTTATCAAAACATTTCTCCAAGTAATTATTTAAGTAAACTCACCAAATATCATTTTAAAATATGATATAATTTACTTTTGAGAAAAACAAAAACTTTTCAGAAACTTTTGCAGGGGACCCAGACTTCTGACTTCTGGCCAGTAAAGTTTATATAGTCAAATTAATATCTATGAATGTATTTATCATTATGGTTAGACCAAATACAGGAACCTAGAAACAAGGAAATACCATTAGCAAATACAATAATAGTGTTTAAAAAAATATATACATTTCTATTTATCAAAGCCAAAGCCTTATGTTTGGTTCATCATGGTTAGGGATATTATTCAAGAAAAGAGAAAACAGATGAACTTGGTTTTTTGAAGTGACATAAAATTTGTGATACTCAAATATACTTGTGAAATGTAAACTGCATTCATTTATTTCATAATTAAAGCACAGCCTTCTTTAAACAAAAAGTTTCTGTATGAACAGAAACATAATTCTGAAATTTGGTGTTGACTTTCTGAAAGCTAAAATTCGTCAATATTTAATCTTAGTGATATGTGTGGAAAAGGCACTTGCCAGGATTAAAGGCTCCCTTTGGATCAAGGTTGTTGGTTGGTTCGTTTTTTTTTTTTAAATCTGCATATACATCTAAAAAGCTTTCATTCTATTCAAGAAAGCTAACAAAAGGCAATATGGATAAACAACACATATGTAAATTTTGTGAGCTCTCACTGGGCTTGCAAATCAAGCAAGTATTTTTGGTTCTCTCCTTTTCTTGTCCATTCTTGCACGAAGGTATTTGTAAGCCCACCGAAACTTGGATCTATCCACACTTCTGTGCCAAGAAGTCTCTTGAATTCAGCTTTTGACACCTTGCTAATTTGAATATGCTGAAGATATTTTAAACCTCAAAAACAGATCCTGTCTTGCCTTGCTTGCTATATTATAGGTATAGGTAAATAAAAACTGCTTGGTGTGCTTGCTTTGCTTTCAGATACAGTAATTTTTAACTATGATTTCACCATACCTAGAACATTACTTAAACTGAAATTGCGTTAGGTATTGGTCTCCAGACAATGGTTCAAAAATTAAATTTAAAAACTATTTTCAAATGGCAATAATGTTTCCAATTCTGGAAGGAATCAAAATCAGTTCCAATAAGGAACTCCAACTATATTTACTAACATCTGGCTGAGGATGCTGTCTCCTCTCCCTTTTCCCTTCTCCTTCACCTTCCTAACACAAGGAAGGAAAGCTGTTATGAAACAAATATAATTTAAGGCTAAAAAAAAAAATCAACTACATGAAACACCTGATTTTCCTCTAAGTAAATTAAACTGGTAAGAACAGATACTACCGTGATCTTAGCCAAAAGGCCGAGAATCGCTCCCCTAAGTAAATTAATTCAGCAACTGTGGTAAGCAGGAAAGAACCGATTTCCTGGACAAAAGAAAATAAACAAAGGCTAAGTGTTGTCTACAGCTTAGGAATGTTTGGTAAGAAGAATCAATATCATCACATCGATGACATAAAGTAATAGAGAGAGAGATGGGGGTGGGGATGAAAGAAATAGCAGATTTCGTTCTTTTCCACGCACAAACTGCTGCACAGTGCAGTGGAATTCCTAGTTCTGGGTCCAGATTTCACCGGGCTGCTTTCCAGTTTCTCCTCCCCTCCAATACTTCCCCCACAGGCAGCCTTGGAAATTGAGGGAAGGGGGGCCAAGAAGCGCGGAGAAAGGGCAAGTGAAGGAGGAGTCGGTGTGTTTAGAGGGACTAGACGTCGAGAGAACGATGTAGTGCCCCACCTTTCCCCTTGGGATTCCAACCTAATCACTGGGCAGGGTCGGGGCGTTGAATACGTTCACAATTCGCAGACCTCCCGCCCACCAAGGCCCGCAGGTGCCCCCACGTGGGCTGTGTGCGTGTGCAGAGGAAAGGGGGGGGTGGTGGTCTGAGAGGACAACAGGAGCCGTGTGGGTCCCCGGGAGGGAAGCAGCCCACTCCCCTGAACTCTTACCCTCGCATCGATCCGGACGGTCCGCATGAGCTTGGGACAAGAGGACGGAGGGTCAGGAGCGGGGGGTCCGTCACGCAGACCCGGGGGCAATAGCGGGGAGGTAGCGGAAGCGAGGACCGCCCCTTGAACTTGCAGCGGCTCATTTGCACGCAAGCTCGGCGCGGAGCACCTGACCAGCACCGCCTCCCGGCCGCAGGTCCCGCCTCTTGCCTCCTATTGGCTGGGGTGGGACGGTGCCCTCCGCCGGACCTGCCCAACCAAAGCCGGGCCCTAGGGAGTCGCTGCACCGCCTGCCAATCAGCGGGCCCCGGGGGCGGGCGCTGCCTGCGTCTGGAGGGTGGAGGGGGCACAGCCTGCGGGAGCAGAGGGTCGCCGCGAGGCCCCAGGGGTCGCGGAGGTCAACATGGCCGCTGCTGCGTCCTCGCTGAGGTCCCCTGTCTGCCCTGTCGCACATCCTCCTGCGGTGTGGCCTTTTCTTGCCGGGCAGTTGTGTTGTCGTCGGTGATGTAGAACGAGTATAAAAGCCCTACCCCAGTGGTTTATCAACACTTACTGTTGTGGTTGAAAGTACTTTTATTTTCTTATCTGATCTCTCAAGGTTTTTTTGTTACTCCGTTTTTTTCTTATCAAAAAATTGGTGACTCCGTACCCTGGACTTTGCTCTGAGGAACACTCGAACGCCCCAGAAAGTCGATGGGACAATGACATTTTAACTCTTCATTAGCTGGTGTGACCTGCTTTATCTCAGAAAAATCTGATTTAGAAGGGTTTAATTCGGTCAGTTCTACAGCCCCAATGTTGCAGGTTTTTGCAACATAAGCACCAGGTTTTTGCAGTGTAAGGCCTCAGTGGTACCTGAAACTGCTCGAAATCAACCAAGCCAGATTCAGGAGTAGGTTAATTTGCTCAGGGGTAGAGGCTGACCAGCTACTCTGATGGTTTCATCTAGACTGGAGACTGCTTCTAGCTTTGTTTCCAAATACGCAGACTACAAACATCAGGTCTCATTTCCTCTCTCAGGAAGTCTTCTGGTATGGTAGGGCCCCTGTTTGTGTGTGGGCAAGGGCATGGTTTGTCATAAGTTGTAACAATGACCTTGAGCTCCCTGGAAGGATTTCTTCATCTACAGGGTCCCCAGGCCTAATTCTGACCACCCTGCAATGGAAAATAATATGTGCCTGGCTGTCACAATCTTAAACATCTAGTCAGCCCATAAAATAGAGCAAAGCCAGCAGCTTCGGCTCCTCTCTGGAGCTCCTGCCCCCCAGCTACCTGTCTAATGTACTGGAACTGTAAAATGAATAGACATTCTTGCTGATATTTAAACAAGGCAAACATTTTGGTCATGGCTTTTTTCTCTTTCCCTCAACTTCTCGTGGAAGGACAGCCCCTACCCCAATCGCTCCCTTCTGATTGCATCGAACATCCCAAAGGGCATCTGGGCACTCTTCCATGACCTTTTATTTGTAGTAACCTGAGTTTATGGTTCTCCACAGGTGGGGTGGGGATTAGAGAGGCTGGTTTCTGTGTTTTGCCAGAGCCAGCGACAGTGAAGTTGTACAGGTTGTTCCAAGTTCCTTAAGCCCTGTCCTTTGAAGTTGCCCAAGCTTGGAACGGGGTGGTCCAATATTATAAGTCCTTGTCTCCCCTACCCCCTCACTGCCCCAACCAATAGGCCAACCCTGTGTTTTCTCAGACACTCAAAGAACACTGCATGCTGACTAACGAGCAGGGGGAGTGAAGACCAGACTTTTATCTGGGTCACTGAACAATTTTGGACTCTGTTCATGTGATGACACTTGGCCTTACTCTGCAAACTTTTTATGGAATGCATGATTGTGTTCACCAGCTACCCCAGTGATGTAGGCATGGTACAGCTGTTCCCCACAGCACATGATACGGAAAATGACTCAGGAGGAGCTCAGCAAAGGCCAGAGACTCTTCCCAGATCTCCATATAACAACATGTGGTGTTCGACTGATAGCTTGTTGTATATCTCATGTCAGTAATGGGAGGAAAAAATCAGGCTTTCATAGTATAAAGAGGAATGATTGTGAAAAAAAATGGAATTCCTGCTTACATCTGTACCAGGTCTCCTGCCCTGTTGCCTGAACTTCTGTCCTGTTGTAACAACTACTGAGGACATCATGGTGGCATAAACCGCAACCTGCTACTGACTGTTATTGATGGACTACTCCTTTATTTTATGTTATTGAGTTAAGATAATCATCATCAAGCTAGGAATATGTTTCTGAGTAATGGAGTACAAGAAGAATCAACTTCTTTCATGAGTTTTGGAGTGGGAAGGGGGTCCCTCTGCCTACCTAAGGAAGTCTGATAGGGGTTTGAGGGCTGGATTATTTTCTTCCTGAGGAGCTGGAAGAGGCTTGTGTGAAAGCTGAAATGTGAAGTGTACTTTATGAAAAAAATAGCCAAGACTGGCTCTGCCACAGAAGTTTTGTTTTCAAAACTAGTCTCTGTCCTGTGGCAGGGGAAATGAACAAATTATTTTACAATGCCTGTAAGGTTGCAATACGTTATACCACAAAAACTACCAAACTAAAACAAAGTCTACCTCATGATCCTTTATAGAACAGTCTGCAAAATGTGGGTCTCACATATTCAATAGCCATAGGTTAGGAACCGTTGGGACTCTGGTTCTGGACTGACCTTGATTCTTGATAAAAAGTAGGTCTTCACTAATTTGGACTTACTAACAGAAGTTCAGCCTGATGAATAAAAAGTTGAATTATAGATTATCCAAGACTTAGTCCAAGTAGTTTATAGTGGTTAGTAATTTAGGCTGCTAATGATATATTTGTACCTCTTAAAACTATTTTTTCACACAATTATTATATTTTTATCCTCAGAAAGCTTTATGTAAGCCAAATATAACCTTCTAAAGTTCTTCGTATTCTTGTATTTCGTAAATTGTGTTTACAGTGTATCATTTTCGTAGGGCTACTGTAACAAACTATGACAAACTAGGTGGCTGACAACAACAGGAATTCATTTTCTCACAGTTTTGGAGACTAGAAGTCTGACATCAAGAAGTTGGCAGGGCCACACTCCCTCCAGAGGCTCTAAGAATCTTTCCTTGTCTCTTCCAGCTTCTGGTGGTTTCTGATGTTCCTCGGCTTGTTGCAGCTAGCTCCATCCGTTGCCTCCATGGCCACGTGGTGGTCTCCTCTGTGGGTCTCTGTGTCTTCAGATGGCCTCATATAATGACACCAGCCATTGGAATTAAGGCCCACTTTAATCCAGGAGGACCTCATCTAAACAAATCTAATTGCATCTGCAAAGATCCTATTTCCCAATAAGGTCACATTCTGAGGTTCCAGGTGAATGCAAATTTGAGGGAGACATATTCAACCCAGTATATGTAGCTAGCAGAATGTTTTATTTTTTTTCAGAATGTTTAATTTTATAGCTCAGCCTGGATCAAAAGTTCATGAATAATTATGAAAATGGCTCAGATCAAGGAAACTGACAACATCTAGTGCTGAGGAGGATGCCAAGGAACTGCAACTATCATATGTTGCTGGCGGGAATGATATGGCCCCTTTACAAAATGGTTTGGAAGTGTTTTACAAAGTTAAATATTCATGTATCATGTAAGCCAGGAATTCCACTCATGGGTATTTAGACAAGAGAAATGAAGAAGATGACCTCTCAAAACTTATAAGCAAATTTTAGTAGCAGCTTTATTCATAACCATTAAAAACTAGAAACAACCCAAATGTCCCTGAACTGTGAACAGATAAACAAATTGTGGTCTATCCATAAGTGGAACACTGTTCATCGATAAGAAGGAATGAAGTAGTGATACATACAATCACATGGATGAGTCTCAAAAGCATTTTGTTAAGTGAAAGAAGTCAAATACACATTGGCTATTTCCTGTTTGATTGCATTTATATGACCTTCTAGAAAAGACAAAATGATAAGGACAGAAATCAGATTGGTGGTAGAGGGAGGGCATTGGCTACAAAGGGGCACAAGGGAACTTTCTGATGTGAGGGAATTTTGATTGTGATGGTGTCTATCTGATCGTCTAAGTTTGTCAAAATTCAGAGAACGATACACCTGAAAATATTTCATTCTACCATATGTAAATTATACCTCAAGAAATAATAGTAGCAAAAAATAAGTCCTAATCTGTGATCACCCACCCAAAGGTTCACGAATCAGGCCTAGTGGTGTTTGTTTCTTCTTGGTCATTTTTTGGTGTGTCACAAAGCCTATTAGCACAGTCTGCAGGAGAGCAGAACTTGCAAGTGTAGGAATCCCCTGGGGCCCAGCTCTGCTGGTTTTCATGTTCTTTCACCTTATGGAGTGACGTCTGGGAATTACTCAGCAAAGAAAGAATTATTATTTTCTAGGCTGGGACTGAATGTCATCCGTTGCATAACTCCATCAGTCATGGATGTACTCATGCAGGCAGAGGGACACTTGTCTTTTGGTCTCTGGTTGGAGGCCTATTTTGAAAGACACATTCTCAGTACAAAACTGCACATGTGTTCGTGGCACGTGGGGTGAACGCACTTAGTCACAGCCACGCCCTCCGGTCTTCATGAAGAAGACAGCCAGAGGAAGCCTCAGAGCACTTAGCGTAACCTCACCATTTACTTGGAAAAGTACAGGCTTCTCATGGGTGTTATAATTCTGCCAATTTACTGTGAGTGTAGGAGGACCTAAAATATATTGTCCTCCTCCCAGATCAAAAAGACATTTCTTTCCACTCTAGGTATTATTACATTTAAAATGTACACGTAGACATCCTTTGCAACTAATATGTTGCTTGAGGGTACACTGGGGCCTTTGATAAATATTACACTTTTTTTTTTAAGATTTTATTTATTTATTTGAGAGAGAGAGAATGAGAGACAGAGAGCACGAGAGGGAAGAGGGTCAGAGGGAGAAGCAGACTCCCTGCTGAGCAGGGAGCCCGATGTGGGACTCGATCCCGGGACTCCAGGATCATGACCTAGGCCGAAGGCAGTCGCTTAACCAACTGAGCCACCTAAGCGCCCAAGTATTACACTTTTTAAAAAAAGATTTTATTTATTTGAGAGAGAGAGAGAGAGCGAGAGAGCACACAGCAGGGGGAGGGGCTGAGGGAGAGGGAGAAGCAGACTTGCCCCTGAGCAGG